TTTTTAGAACTAATATTAGACTCAGGTCAATACTTAGAAAATCTTGACTTTTACTCCAAATTAGTGTAAGCGGAGCAAAAGCATTTAAATATTAGAACGCCAGAAAAAACAGTTTTGTCTTTATGGAAACTTCCTTTCACTCATTTCTCTCTTCAATTAGCAACATTCCAAACGTTTCGATGGCTTTTGCACGCTGTCTTACAAGAAGTTGAAAGTTTCTCATGTCATTTTCATGTGACAAAAAAAGCGTTACAGATATCTTGCGGCACTCCCTCCTTCCGATAACGAGCTTTCGCTGGTCAACGACTTCGCTCGTCAGCAGCAAATCGTCAATCCTAACGCAAAAGACGTAGAAAAATGTACAAGTGAACGTTCTAAGGTAAGTAGAGGCCCCAGTACTTTTTGGAATGTGCTCTTCTCGTTTTCTTCCTAGCGAAGTAGTTTCCATCTTTTCACGATTTCTTAATTCAAATTCATTGAATGACGAAATTAATAGGGGTAAATTATACGTCATGAGGTAGTTACCATTAAAATCAAACGACACTTGTGTATCAATTTTTTTGCTTAAAGCTTGGAAAATTTCAGCCAGATTAGAAATTGTAACGGTGAAAGCTACAAATATCGATTGTTCTGCCAAGTCATTTACTTCTTGAATTATAGGCATCCGATGTCAGAACGCGAGAGGTAGAGAGTAATTCGTACGATGCAATACCAATAGCAATACGGTTGGACTCAGAGAAGCGAGAATTTGAGAAAAAGGAGAAAGAACGCAGAAAGAAAGAGAAGAAGCTACAGAAAATAAACAAAGACAAATTGTTGATAACTCTATCTCCACCACTTGCAGAAATACAGGTAATTTTCTCCATTAAAAGCTTTGAAGTTTCTGTGTTGGAATTTGTATAGTGAACATCTCAGGCTCCTACGGAGATGTCTATCCCTGAAGCAGAATCTACAACAGTGAATTACGATAGTACGACAGTAACACCAAACGAGAAATGTAACGAGGAAACAGCGAAAGCAATACCCACAACAGAGCCAAGCACAGAGCCGACCACTGAGCTGGCCCCGAGTTCGGCAGAAACTGAATT